TTGTAACAGGAGGTTTGAAAAGTAGGATAATAGAAATAATAACAAAGACACAAAATTAACCCAACTACCCCCCATCAATAGTAAAGCCTTAAAATTAATTGGTCACATTAGTCCCATTAATCACATCTTTAAGTTTTAAACATCCGTTATTGTTGAGCATCGCTGGTTTGACCCTTTAATCTTAAAGATAAATTAAGACAAGTTGGCAGTGCTCCTAGTTCCAATGCGTTGTTGTGTATAGTCTTTTTCCCCAGGTTTTTTTTTTTTGTCCATTGGCTGTTCTCCTCCTCTTCCTTTTTCCTCCCAATCAGTGTCCTTCCAATTCTCTCGTCCGTCTTCTGGACCTCTGCTAAATGTTTTTTCGCCACCACTGTCTTGAAAGAGATCCTGCTGTTTAAGGAGTTCAGTGCCCTCTGCCAAGGATTTAATTCTGTAGTTTTTCCCATCTTTGTTAAATAAAATTGAGGCAGGATGAATCCACTTGAATCAAATTCCAGCTTTGTTGAGGTTTCTAGTAATCGGTCTTAGTGTCTCACGATCTTTCCTCGTTTCCTTTGCCAAGTCCGGAAGAATAAATAGGATGAGATTTTCAAAAAGCTAAGGTCCACCTGGAATTTAATGTATAAGGAACCCATCTAAACATCTCTAAAAACAAGGTGAGTCTTAGAATCACAGGTGTGTGTGTGTATGTATGTATACACACACAGACACACACACACACACACACACACACACACACACACTGTATTTCATCACATAATTAATAATAATGCCTCTATGTATTCCATTCTAAGATGCATTCTCTCCCCATATAAACATCTCTAAAAAGAAGGTAAATGTTAGAATCACAGATGCTCTCTCTCTCTCTCTCTCTCTCTCTCTCTCACACACACACACACACACACACACATATATATTGTATTTAGTCACATAATAAAAATATCCTATGTATTCCATTCTAAGATGCACTCCCTCCCCATATAAACACCTCTAAAAACAAGGTGTGTCAAAGAATCACAGGTGCTTTTATATTAAAAAAATAATATATTTCATTGTATAACACTCAGCACTGCTTAATAGTCGCGCCCCATTTTTGGGCTGCCAAAATTGGTATTTTTGTGTTCCTTGCATAATAGTCATAGAGCCGTTTGGGGCTGATTCCCCCTTTCTTTTCCAAAGGCAAAGCGGTTTACATACGATGAAATGGGAGGTCTCTGGAGCTCCATTCTTCCCACCTCCTTCCTTCCTCCAAGGCCTTAAAGCAGTTTACAAAATCTGAAATGGACCTCTTTGGGGGAAGGAGGGAAGAGTGGAGCTCTAGGGGCCTCCATTTTGGTTTTTTTTAACGGCTCTAAGGTCTCAGAGGAAGGGAAGAGTGGAGCTTCAGAGACCTCAGTTTCATAGTTTTTAAACTGCCTGGCCTTCGGAGAAAGAAGGAAGGAAAAAATTATTTATTTGTTTATTTAGCAGTTCGTTCGAAGGACTCAGGCAGGTTTCCAACATCAATATTACAGACAGTCATTAAAACATCATATTCTAAATCACACTAAAACATTAAAATAGCAAAATACAATCATATAATTACAGTGGTCAGTCATCATCAAAAATCATTGTTCGTTGTCATCCATCCATTTCACAGGATCATGGCTCATTCGTCGAATGTCAGTCCCCAAAGCCAAGTTTTCACCTGTTTCCTGAACATTAAGATAGAAGGGGCAGTTTATTTATTTATTTATTTATTTATTTGCTATATTTGTATACCGCCGTTTCTCAACCTAACCGGCGACTCAACGCGGTTTACAACATAATATAACAATCAACAGTATACAGTTAAAAGCATAAAAAACATAAAACACAATTCATACATCAATACCAATCCAGTTCAACTCTTAACTAAAAACGTGATCCAGTTCGTCGTCCATATTGCCAGTCCTTTAGTCAGTTACCATTCGTTGCACTGAGTTAACCAAATGCCTGCTTGAACATCCAGGTCTTCAATCTTCTTCGAAATACCATCAATGAGGGGGCTGATCTTACCTCCAAGGGCAGGGCGTTCCATAGCCGCGGGGCCACCACAGAAAAGGCCCTGTCTCTCGTACCCGCCAGCCGCACCTGTGAAGCAGGCGGGATAGAAAGCAGGGCCTCCCCAGAAGATCTAAGGGTCCTGGCGGGCTGATAGGCCGAGATACGTTCGGATAGGTAAGTTGGGCCAGAACCGTTTAGGGCTTTAAAGGCCAACGCCAGCACTTTGAATTGAGCCCGGTAGCAGATCGGCAGCCAGTGGAGCTGGTGCAGCAGAGGAGTTGTATGCTCCCTGCGCTCCGCTCCTGTTAGTATCATGGCTGCCGAGCGTTGGACTAATTGGAGCTTCCGGGCCGTCTTCAAAGGCAACCCCACGTAGAGAGCGTTGCAGTAGTCCAAACGGGATGTAACCAGAGCGTGGACTACCGTGGCCAAGTCAGACTTCCCAAGGTACGGGCGCAGTTGGCGCACGAGTTTTAACTGTGCGAATGCTCCCCTGGTCACCGCCGAAACCTGGGGTTCCAGGCTCAGCGATGAGTCCAGGATCACACCCAAACTGCGAACCTGCGTCTTCAGGGGGAGTGCGCCCCCATCCAACACAGGCTGTAACCCTATACCCTGTTCGGCCTTACGACTGACCAGGAGTACCTCTGTCTGATCTCTGTCAGTTCTGATCTCCAGTGGAGAATCTGTCTCAAATGACTTCACAGTCTAAACCAGGGGTCCCCAAACTTTTTAAACCGGGGGCCGGATTACTGTCCCCCAGACCATTGGAGGGCCGGACTATAGTTTTTTTAAAAAAAACAATGACCAAATTCTATGCACACTGCACATGTCTTATTTTGCTACTGTTATGAATCGTAATGTAAATATCTGATATGCACGATGTATTTTTATTGTTACAATCTGAACATAAAGCATAGTGATGAATCACAAAAACAATATGTAATATACATTGTGAAATATTTATTTCTAATTACAAATAAATGAAATTTTGATTTCAAGCATGTCACAGCATGTGTAACAGTCTTAATATAACAGCAGGGAATCCATGAATTCGTTGACTGTTCAGCCCTCAGTGAGGACAAAACTACATAATGTGTTTGTAACTTGGGGACTGCCTGTCCAGGTTGGGTCACAGGGGTCACAGAGACGACTGTACAGAAGAATAATACCTGGCAAAGTCAATGAAAGATTAAATGTCTCTGACCTGGAATGCTAAGCAGGGCCAGTTCTGGTTAGTATTTGGATGGGAAGCCACAAATGAATAGCAGGTGCTCTATTTCAGAGAAAGAAACTGACAAAACTATTTTTGAGTATTTCCTCTCAAAGAAAACCCTATTAAATTCATGGGGCCGCCATAAATAAAAGGAGAACACACCCAATAAAAGGAGAACACACACCCAACCATGGGCTGCGGAAAGCAATATAGGAGTACAGAGAAAAAGATAGCTTTAGCATTTCTGAAAATAAAATAGTTCCAATGAAAATGAGGAAAAAAATTATATTTTCTGTCGTTTTGAAAGTGGTTTTTTGGAATATGTAAGCATGAGTCCCCTTTCAGGGGGAGAAGGGCAGGGTATAAATATAGGAAATAAATCTATATAAATAAAAATGTAATGTTCATTTGTGGGATTAACAGAAATCAAAAACCACTGGACACTTAACAACCCAATGTATGTCCTTCACTCAAAAAAATTGATTTTGACATTTGGGAGTTGTAGTTCCTGGGATTTATAATCAAAGAACATTCTGAACCCCCCCCCCCCCCGCCAACTATGGAATGGAACCAAACTTGGCACACAGTTCTCCCATGACCAACAGAAAATACTGGAAGGGTTTGGTGGGCAGTGTCCTTTGGTTTTGGAGTTGTAGTTTACCTACATCCAGAGATCACTGTGGACTCAAACAAGGATGGATTTGGACCAAACTTGGCACAAATACTCAATATGCCCAAATGTGAACACTGGTGGAGTTTGGGGGAAATAGACTTGACATTTGGGAATTGTAGTTACTGGGATTTATAGTTCACCTATAATCAAAGAGCATTCTGAACCCCACCAACGATGGGGACCCCTGGTCTAAACCAACATTTAACTGAGCTCTTTGAGGCTCGATCCTCCCTCTTCCTGCTCCCCTTTTGGAGGAAAGGCAGTTTTTTAATTTAAAAAATAAATCAAAGACAGGTCCCGCCCAAATTAGTCATGCCTCCTTTTTAATGGAAAAGGGTGCAACTATTATGTGAGGAAATACAGAAAGGCTTTTTTCCTGTGAGTGTTGAAATTAGTTTGCGTCTTACAATCAATGAAAAATAGTAATAATACGATGCTGTCTCTTCAGGCATGTTTTTTATTGCTAGTATTCCTTTTTTCTCTCTCAGTAATACATTTTCTCTGGCTGTCATTTTGTGATGCATGCAGCCATAAGGTGTACTATGCCTGCAGTGATACTATTTTCGGGGGACGATGCATGACAGTTGTATCCAGCCTGACAGCAGCATAGGTGGAGGTGCCCCTCTGCAAGCACATGGAAATGATTAAAATTGTGTGTGAATGTCCACTTGTATTGACTTTGCATGCTGTTATTTCACAGTGAATCACAGTAGCTTTGAGCAAGACCTACTGGATGGAAGAAAATGAGTTGAAGATCATGAAACACCTTGTACTCTGAAAAGAGCTCAAGGTCTTCCAGGCAGGACTGAGTATCGCATGCTGTCAGACTGCAGCTCCCAGCATTCCTCCCCACAAGCTAAGGCTGTTGGATATTATAGTTCAATATCTGTAGGGCCATGCTATTCCCATCCCTGAGGTGTCTCTCTAATGTTCTTACACTGGATCTGTAGTATAGCCTGCGGTGGTGGCAAATCCTGTAGTACGATGAACATTTCCTAGTGTCAGAATGAAATTCCTTCTCCCCAGATTCTGATGGTCAACAATGCTTTGTAAGTATCCTGACTTGAAGATAACCTTGTCTTTCAGAAACATGATCCAGGTTCTCTCAGCAACGAAGCTTTAATCCGAAGAGCTGCCTCTTTGGTAACCGATAGCACCGGTACTCTCCTCTCTCAAACCACATATGCATTAATTGAAGCACTGACAGAGTATACCACGGTAAGAGATGTCTTGGTCTCTGAAGTCACAGATTCTATGGCTGATGGTTGAGTCAACTAGATGTGATGCTCATGAGCTCTGTCTCCTTTTGCAGGCAGTTTACACACTGGTGTCCCTGTACCAGAAGTATGCACACCTCATTGGGAAAATGAATTCTAAAGAGGAGGATGCTGTCTGGCAGGTGATCATTGGTGCTCGAGTAGAGGTACAAAACCTGGCTCATTCTGGCTTTGGATCAAACTCTCTGCTTCAGAATTCCCTCCCAATAAAGTCAGCTTGGGTGTCTAACCGTAGTGTTTGATTTTAACTAGATGACTGCAAAGCAGCAAGAGTACTTGAAGTTAGAATCCCGATGGATGACTGCGCTGCGTCTTTCAGAGATGGCGGCCGAAGCAGCCTATCAATCAGGTAGTACAAATGAAAGCATGGATGTGGGTGTGATTTGCATAGCCCCGTTCTTCCTGCCTTATAATTGAGGACAAGCCTGTATTTATGTGCATTGTTTCTCCATGGGTTTGATACAATGTTTGCATTCACATACCAGAAGTTTTTAGTGTTTACTTCCAAAGAATGTAGTTTTTGTTCAACATCCCAAATTTCTAAAGAGCCAAGTGGGCATTTTGTTAGAGGTTTGATAGAGAAGGTGATGTTTTTTGGTTGGTTTTTTAATGCCAGGATGGGCAGGGATTACCTTGATATTTATGTGCACTGGGGTACGGATTAGAAACTGATTCATATTCCTGGAATTTGGCAGGATAATATTTTGCGGACATACAACAGGGCATTTCATAATCCAACAGCCTGCTTTCTGTTATGCCAGGCATGTATTTATGGGCTTCCCTGCTTCTGGGGAGTATGCAGCTGCCTGTTTCCACTTTCAAAGTGCTAAACTGTTTGTTTATTTATCATGTCAGAAGCGAATTGAGGGTACATTTATAATGTTTGTTTTTTTAAAAAAAAAACAATGTTAAAAACTTGGCATTATGCTAGATTTCCTTTGACCAGAAGTGGCCACTTGGAGTGCCTCTGGTGTCACTCTGGTGAGAAGGTCCTCTGTTGTGCATGTGGCAGGGCTCAGGTTGCATTGTAGTAGGTGGTCTGTGTTTTCCTCTTCTCCACACTTGCATGTTGCAGACTCTACTTTGTAGCCTCATTTCTTAAGGTTAGCTCTGCATCTTGTGATGCCAGAGTGCAGTCTTTTCAGTGCCTTCCAAGTTGCCCAGTCTTCTGTGTGCCCAGGAGAGAGTCTCTCATTGGGTCTCAGCCATTGTTTGAGGTTCCAGGTTGTAGCCTGTCACTTTTGGACTCTCGCTTGCTGAGGTGTTCCGGTGAGTAATTCTGCAGATCTTAGGAAGCTGTTTCTTGATTTAAGCCATTGGCTTGCTGGCTGATATCCGAGCAGAGGAAGGGCTGGAGATTTCAGTGCCTTAGTCCTTTCATTATCGGCTGCTACTTCCCAGTGGATGTCAGGTGGAGTAATGCTGGCTAAACAATATAATTTCTCCAGTGGTGTATGATGTAAACATGCTGTGATAGTGTGACGTGTCTCATTAAGAGCCACATCCAATATTTTAACTTGGTAAGATGTATTCCACACTGGGCATGCATAGTCAGCAGCAGAGTAGAAAAGCGCAAGGGCAGATGTCTTCACTATATCTGGTTGTGATCCCCAGGTTGTGCCAGTTAGCTTTCGTATTATATTATTTCTAGCACCCACTTTTTACTTGATAGTCAAGCAGTGCTTCTTGTAAGTCAGAGCACGGTCCAGGGTAACTCCCAGGTATTTTGGTGTGCTGCAATGCTCCAGTGGGATTCCTTCCCAGGTAATCCTCAAAGCTCGAGATGCATGTCTGTTCTTAAGGTGAAAAGCACATATCTGCATTTTAGATGGATTAGCAATCAGTTGGCTTTCCCTGTAATAGGCAATAAAAGCATCTAAAGCTTCGGAGAGCTTCTGTTTAACCATTTCAAAGCTCCCTGCTTGAGTGGTGATGGCACAGTCATCAACATAGATGAAACTCTCTGTCCCTTCTGGTAGAGGCTGATCATTTGTGCAAATGTTAAACATGGATGGAACAAGCAGGGCGTTCTTTTGTCTTCGCCATCTGCTTCTCTGACCCTGGAATTTAAAAAAAAGAAAAAAAGGCTCCTGTTTTGTAGCAGATTTCCTATGAAGCAGGTGAGGTGGTAGTCCTTTGTGATATTATAATTTTTTCTCAGGCGCACTGCTTCTGCCCATTTATTTACAAATCAGAAACAGGCAACTTGCAGAGAGCCCAAAGAGTCTGTACCTGGTGGCTGGGGTTTGGCCCTGCCTTATGCCATTTTATACATAAGGGTCTATTATACAAAGATCTCCTGTATGGTACAGATGTGAGGCTGGAGAGAAACGTGACAATCTGTGAAATATTGGGAGGTAATGATTTGTACCAAACACTATACTTGGGACTCTCACCATTACAAAGCTCCTCGCATTTCTTTCCAGCCTCACAAATACATTGTGTACCATGCAACTCGTACAATATTGTATGGTATACTGTAGTTCAAATCTGGGGATCCGGATACAATAGGTCTTTTGTACAACGCCTCATCTGCCACATTGATTGTAGATCTTTGCATATGGAATTTGTATAACTTTGCTGTTAGAGAATCCATCTCACAGTAGTGACCTTTGGATGATATGTTCTCAAAAGTGTGTATATTACTATCTCAATTATGGGCCTGAGCATGCATACAAGCTCCATCCATGCTTGAAGAAATCTAAGCCCCATTATACTATGTAATAAAATGGGGGGGGGGGAGTGTTCCTTGTTTGAAAGTAGTTGTTATACTCCAGGCACTTTGTTTTTGTGGCTGCTACAAATTAGGTTCAATTGGTTGAGACTCGATGAGATATTCTTTGAAAAACTACAGCAAAATGTGCCGCAGGATGTCCCTCCCGCAAAAAAATGTTTCTGCAGTTTAATCACCTTTTCCCATTTTTTTAAATGATCAAACCAATTAGGCAATAACATTTATAACCCAGGAACAAAAATCGTGTTCTATAGTGTTATCAGTCCTGCCTTGGGGTTTGTGAAAAATGAATGAGAGAAGGACACAGGGTGCTCAAATATGATACGGATACAATACAGGAATTCCATTTTTGCAGTGTTTTCAGTTACAAGAGTGTTACAAAATTCCATGCTTCTTGAACAACTGTGATGCAATCTTTTGCGAGACCACTGCAAAATTAATTCTTGAGATTAGGAATTTGTCATGTTTTTCTCTTTTATCTTTTGAGTTCTTTTTGTTATACGTGACCGTGCTATGGCTTTGTTAGTGGACGCTGTTGACATGGGGGACAGAGCTGAAAGAGAGAAGGGTTATGTCCTCTTTAGAGTAAAATGTCTGGATCCAACCAGGTCACAGGACAACACTGTGAATGCATTTACACAGATGAGTCAAAAAGTAATGCCTCCATTGCTCTAACTTTTCTTTCTTTCCCAGCTACTGGACTATCTATGTATGATATGATAGAGGTCACCTTACTTTACTGAGGTAGTTTACTTACTTTACTTACCGTATATTCTGGGGTACAAGACGACTTTCTAAGCCTGGAAAATCATCTCAAAAGTGGGGAGTCGTCTTGTACCCCGGCATAATTTTTTTTGGATCATTTTTCCCTTGTCTCCCTCGCCCTTGGCATCCCCGCATGGTGGAGCCTGAGGAGGAGGGAGGGCGGAGGGAGGGAGGGGGCGAGGAGGAGCAGCGGTAGGCTTCGCTACCAAGCTGGCAGCATGGGAGCCTACTGGGCTGTCCTCATCCTCGCCGGCATTGAGTTGGGTCCGCCTCCGCCCTCTAATCCCAGAAAAGGTGCTGCAGGAGCCAAAGCCGGAGGGGTGGGGGCGGGGCCTCTGGCTACTCCGGCCCCCCCCTCACGGAGGGTCCCGCCCCCGGTCCCCCCCCCCCCGCTCCGTCTTCAACTCCTGCTGCTTTACCAGGCCGGCGGGGGTGTTTGCATGCTATGCTGTGCTGTCCCCTCCGCCACTGGTCTGCTGCTAGCTCTGCCTCTGGCCTCAAAGTTCAGAGCAACTGCCGAGGGAACCAAACCCAGAGCAGGGAGGCAGTGGGAGAAGAGGACCCCGCCCCTCGCGGCCCCGCCCACGCTCCGGTTTTGGTCCCCTCGGCAATTGCTCTGAACTTTGAGGCCAGACCACCCCCCCTCGCGGCCCCACCCACGCTCCAGTTTTGGTCCCCTGGGCAATTGCTCTGAACTTTGAGGCCAGAGGCAGAGCTAGCAGCAGACCAGTGGCGGAGGGGACAGCACAGCATAGCATGCAAACACCCCCGCCGGCCTGGTAAAGCAGCAGGAGTTGAAGACGGAGCGGGGTGGGCGGAACCGGGGGGCGGGGCCCTCTGCGGGGGCGGGGCGGAGCAGCCAGAGGCCCCGCCCCTCTGGCTTTGGCTCCCTCCTGCAGCAGCTGCTTTGAGATGGAGGCCGGAGGCGGACCCAACTCAATGCCTGCGAGGGTGAAGACAGCCCAGTAGGCTACCATGCTGCCAGATTGGTAGCAAAGGCTGCCGCTCCTCCTCTTCGCCCCCTCCCTCCCTGCGCCCTCCCTATGACTTCCTCTCACATATTTACACATGGCTCTCATCATGTCTCCTCTCAGCCTTCTCTTCTTCAGACTAAACATACCCAGCTCTTTAAGCCACTCCTCATAGGGCTTGTTCTCCAGACCCTTGATCTGCTCTCTTCTCCCTATGACTTCCTCTCACATATTTATACATGGCTCTCATCATATCTCCTCTCAGCCTTCTCTTCTTCAAGCTAAACATACCCAGCTCTTTAAGCCACTCCTCATAGGGCTTGTTCTCCAGACCCTTGATCTGCTCTCTCCTCCCTGTGATTTCCTCTCACATATTTATACATGGCTCTCATCATGTCTCCTCTCAGCCTTCTCTTCTTCAAGCTAAACATACCCAGCTCTTTAAGCCACTCCTCATAGGGCTTGTTCTCCAGACCCTTGATCTGCTCTCTCCTCCCTATGACTTCCTCTCACATATTTATACATGGCTCTCATCATGTCTCCTCTCAGCCTTCTCTTCTTCAGGCTAAACATACCCAGCTCTTTAAGCCACTCCTCATAGGGCTTGTTCTCCAGACCCTTATCATTTGCTCTCTCCCTATGACTTCCTCTCACATATTTATATGGCTCTCATCATGTCTCCTCTCAGCCTTCTCTTCTTCAGACTAAACATACCCAGCTCTTTAAGCCGCTCCTCATAGGGCTTGTTCTCCAGACCCTTGATCATTTTAGTCACCCTCTTCCTCTGGACACATACCAGCTTGTCAACATCTCCCTTCAGTTGTGGTGCCCAGAATTGGACACAATGTAATTCCAGGTTTGGTATAACCAAGGCAGAAT